ATATATGTATATATATAACAAATAAGAAAAGTGGACATGAATTTGAAAGAAATCAGGGTAAATGGGAGGGTTCAAATGGGGGGAAGGGAGGGGGAAATGATATATTTTGATGAAAAATAATAATGAAGGAGCTGGAGAGATGGCTCAGAGGTTAAGAGCACTGGCTGCTCATCCAGAAGTCCTGAGTTCAATTCCCAGCAACACATGGTGGCTCACAACCATCTGTAATGAGATCTGATGCTCTCTTCTGGCATAAAGTTGTACATGCAGATAGAGCATTTAAAATAAATAAATAAATCTTAAAAAATAAACAAACAAAAATAATGAATTTAAAAACCACTGGTTTCCCAGCTTAGACTACTAGCAGTAGTGGAGAGGGTGCCTGAACTGACCTACCCTAGTAATCAGATTGGCGAATATCCTAACTGTCATCATAGAGCTTTTCTACAGTACCTGATGGAAGCAGATACAGAGATCCACAGCCAAGCACCAGGCCGAGCTCCAGGAGTCCAGTTGAAGAGAGAGAACAGGGATTTTATGAGCAAGTGCATCAGGATCATGATGGGGAAATCCACAGAGACAACCAAACCAAACTAGTTTAGACCAACAGCTGTGTAGCCTGCATGGGACTGAACTAGGCCCTCTGCATAAGTGAGACAGTTGTGTAGCTTGATCTGCTTAAGGGGCCCCTGGCAGTAGGATCAGGATCCATCCCTGGTGCATGAGCTGGCTTTTTGGAGCCCACTACCTATGGTGGGACAACTTGCACAGCCTTGAGGCAGGGGAAGGGGCTTGGACCTGCTTCAACTGAATGTACCAGGCTCTTGGGAAGCCTTACCTTGTTGGAGGAGGAAATGTGGGGTGGGTTGATGGGGGAAGGCTGGAGGGGCAGGAGGAGGGAAGTGGGGGACCTGTGATTAGTATGTAAATGAACAAAAAATTTCTTTAAAAAAGAGCATAAAAAAAATCACTGGTCTCATAAAGAAAAACACCACAGTAACAGCTGACTTCTCAGTGAAGACTTTAGAAGTCAGAAAAGCCTAAAGCAGTGTACTCCAGAGTCGGAGACCACAGATGCCAAGCAAGCTAACTTGGCCAAGCAAAACTATCTTCCAGAGTTGAAGAAGAAAGAAGAATTTTCCACAGGACAAAGCAGCTTAAAGAACTCGTGTCCACCAACCAGTCCTGCAGAGAAGACTGGAAGCAATACTTCAGACTGAAAAGAATACTAAGTGTAGCCAAGAGGCCATAGGCTGAAAACAAATGAAGCTGTAACTCCTGAAACCCAAAACAGGGCTATGAACACAAACAGAAAAAAAAAGATAACAATCATCACACACTTTCCAATAACTATTTTATTCAACAAAAAAACACAGGTTGCTTCAATGAATTAAGAAACAAAACCCTTTTTTTCTGTTAGCTACAAGTAATTTGGTTTCCAGCACCTATGTTGGGTGTCTCTGAGCCTCCTTGTAACTCCAGGTCCAAGGGATCCAGTGTCTTCTTCTGGTCTGTATGGGTCCCACTCACACACTGAGATACACACATAAATAAACGGAAAAAGAAATCTTTTGAGAAGTCTCTTGAAATTCTCAAATAATTGATAAAACTGTCACTTTGAAAAGGAAAATATAATCAAAAAGGTAAAATAAAATCTTTTAAAACTAAACATGTGAGAGTAATTTTGATTCTGCTTTGACTAACCCAATCGGTTGTCATTTAGGAACACAGTCGATGAGATACTGTCCACTGTTTTTCACACAGCATGTGTCAAGTCAGATTAGCCATCCTGAGAGTAGTGACTCATGTAGGAGCGAACACAGTTTTAAAGGCTTGCTGCCCCACATATAAAAATTGTTTTAGAATCACCATTGAATTTCATTTGGACCACAATAAAATAATTAAAACAGGTTTGCCTTTCACTGAAAGTAAGGTGGCCAAAGAAATAAAAGGAGAAATGAGTGAGAAGTATTTATCTAAATAAAAGCTACCAATATTTCTGTTCATTTTTTAAAATCTTATTTTTTTTACTTTATCAAATATTGTCAAACATATCTGTAACAGGTAAGAAAAATGCACATGTGACTGGATAGTATTGTGGAGTTTTAACTAAAGCCTAAACTTCATCTTCCTGTCTATAAAATTGTTTTAAGCTTTTTATTATCTTAATTACTTAGCTGCAGTAAAATAATTAAAAACAAGTACAAAATGGTGGAAAGTTATCCCTGTCAAATGAACATGAAAGAAGTGAAACAGGATGACAGTGTTGCCTCCAAATCATGCCTATGTTTTATTTGACCACAAGACACGGTTTCTTGAGCGAACGATGTTAAATTCCTAAGGAAGAGTATCACTACTGGACGATGATGAACTTTTGGATGACGACGTCATTGGTGATGAAACCTTGTTGGCTTCTCAGAAGTGGAAAACCTAAATTTAGTTAAGTTCAGAAAGCCTTCCTTCTTCATCCTTTTCTTCCTGTTCTTCTTAACTACGGGTAAAAATGAGAGAAAATGACCAATTATACAAGATTAATCTGCTTCCTGTATTTAAGAAAATGATCAGCCCTTGGTGCATGCCTGTTCCATTTGCTCTCTGTCTCAACAATTACAGAAAATCAACATGTTTCCTCTTATAAATCAAACCCATGGTTATGGGAGTGCTTATGCAACCAATCATGTGATTACACCACCTTTTTGGCTATTGGTGTGTGTGTGTGTGTGTGTGTGTGTGTGTGTGTGTGTGTGTGTGTGTGTGTGTGCAGATCTGAATTGAACTCAGAGCCCTGCACATGCCAACCCCATGAGCCACAGCTTCAGTCTTGTATGTATTCGTTTATTCTTTATTCTGCTCGGAAGGTTTGCTGGCATGTGAAGAAGTCTCTCAAGCTCTAAAAGCCAGTGCTAGTTCTACAGGCTTTTTTCTAGTGATGCTTCCCAGCCTCCCAGACATTTGGCTTCCACATATTTTATGGAGCACTCAGCTGTGAAAATGCAGAAAAAAGAAAAGAAAGAAGGAAAGAGGAAAGAAAGAGAAGAAAATGTGAATCACTTAAAGATACTGAAAGAAAAGATATTCCTTAAATTTTAATTATCAATTTGGTGCTGAATGATCATATTAGGACTAACTTTCTTTTGACTGGTATAACATGTAAAAATCTATAGCTAAATGAATATTTAGGTATTAATCATTAAAAATGATCCTACTTGAAGTGTTTAACTTTTTACTATTTGTGTGTAGTAGTTTAAAAGGCATTGTTTCCTACTTAGTATAGGTGACTGCATAATTGTGGCCAAGCACTAAGGACTCAGCTAGTGCCCAGCCCAGCCATCACCACTGTTACTCCTGACAATTGTTCTCTAAACAGATATTGGTCTAGATCTGATACAGGTATTAAGTCTAATAGGTTTACCACTTGTTATTAGTCTTACATTGGTGGACAAAAGACCTCAGAATAACCAAGGAATTGCCACAAAGAACACACTACATTTAGATTAGTAAGTACATGATTACTTTAGTCACATTCTAAGAAAGTTAAATTGAATTTTGTTTGAATTCAAAATAAAGTTTTCCCCACTTAATGAATTAGAATTTAAAATGAGAACGCTCAACTGAAAAGTAACTAACTACAGGGATGGTGCACAGAAACCTGGATTTGCTGGTACTGGAGCCTGCTGGATCTGGGTCCACTTGAAGTGCTCCTTGTTTTTTCTTTTCTTCTCCTTTTTCCTCCTCCTCCTCCTCAAAGATGTTGTCCTCTTCATTCCAGATATCACAATGGCATTCATCTATTTATTTAGTAGAGATCATTAAAAACAGACAAAATAGCCTAATTCCCAACCAGTAGTACCATCCACCTCTACTCTCAGAAGAAACAGGGCACATGAGTAACTACACCAGCAGTAGTTGGCACCTTCTTTCTGTTCCTGCTCCCCTTCCCTAACCTCCGCACTCCGCCACCTCATTGTCTCCACAGTGATTTTCTTCCCCTTTCCCAGCAAATATCCCAAGCCATGAGTTCCATTTCTTCTCCTTTGAAAAAGACATCCGAGGCATTGGTCACCTTGCATTCATTATGCCTTGAGCAGAATCTTGTTTGCCTCAAGTACAAATTCTGGAGTGAATTTGTTTTCTCAAGCCATGAATACTAACACTCCCTTTCCTAGGAAGTGCTTCCAAACTAGTTTATCAATGCAGAGAATCAAATTTGTAAGAACCTTTACATTTTTAAAAGCCATAAACAAAATGAGGAACATCATTTCCTTGTTCTTTTGCTGACTGGCAGATTTCCCTTCTATTGGCTCCCAAGCTCTCTTTTGGACACCTTGCTACATAGTGAGCTCAAGGCCAATGTAGGCTACATGAGATTCTGTCTAAAAAAAGACAACAACAACAAAACCAAACTGTAAAGGTTGTCATAGAACTGGCCCGGTGATTCAGACCTGTAATCCCAGCACTCAATGGCCAGCAGAAGCAGGGGATTGTGAGTAAAAGTCAACCTGTGCTACATTGTGAGTTCCAGGGCAGCCCAGGCTAAATAATGAGATAATGAGACCCTGTCTCAAGCGAACCAGTTTTTTGTTGTTGTGAGTTTTTTTTTTTTTTTTTTTTTTTTTTTTTTTTTTTTTTTTTGAGACAGGGTTTCTCTGTGTAGCCCTGGCTGTCCGGGAACTAGCTCTGTAGACCAGGCTGGCCTCAACCACAGAGATCCCCCGGCCTCTGCTTCCTGAGTGCTGGGATTAAAGGCACCACCCTTTCTGGCAGGAATCGGTTTTTTAACCTGACCCTTTGGACCTTAGAGGCACGACGTGCCCAATCCTAACTTTCCCCACTAGAGGCCAGCACTGAGCAGAGTCAATCGTTGGGTCCCGTGAAGCAGCCGCTTCAGCCTGGGCCTGCAGCAATGCCAGTGCCAATAAAGCTTTGTCCTTATTTCCTGCCTCCCCACCACTGCCCAGCACCGATCGCTTCATCTAGGCCCCTAGGCCTTGTTTCCTTACCCTCTGAGGCCATGATTTGCTCCATGACTTCCTTTGCTGGATCTTCCGCTGTCGCCACTGCTGCCACCTCTTCTATTGCTTGCTCGGCTGGTTCCTCGGCTGCTGCCCTAACTGCTGGCTCCTGCACCCAAAGATCTGGCTCCCGCAGATAATAATCTGCTTCCTCGAAGTCTATAGGCTCCTCCAGCTCCGGAAATGTGGAGATGACTTCTGGCAGGCTTCGGGCCAGGCCTGGAGTGCGGCCCTCACACTCTGCAGTCCTCACTGTTGATGGAATGGGCCCGGGTGGTACTTGAACCTCACTTGAGTGGCCAGATGCAGAAGGGCCAGGTGTTTCCCTCACTTGGTTTTCACGGGGATGCCTAATCATGACATGGTTGTTGTAATAGACACGATTGAGAATGGCGTGGATCAGATCCAGAAACATAAATCGGAAGCCAGCCATTGGGAACTGAAGGGTGTTCACCACGTCTTGATTTTCCACATTTTCCTCCTCCTCCCGTTCTTCTGCCTCCTCCTCAACAGGAGCAATATCTGAGTCTTCCTCAGCAGCCACACTCTCTTCCCTGCCATCCTCTTCCCCTGGGTTTCTTTCAAGCCCAACATTCTCCACCTCCCTAGGACAAACGGCCATTATTTCAACTGCAGGTGTGGCAGAGGTCCCATTTGGGCCGGACTCGTGGTCTATCCTGCAGCCCTCTGCAGCTTCCTGTACCCACTCTCCCTCAAGGGTTACTGGGTCATCTCGGCTCTCTTTGGTTGGATCTCGATTCCCTGTGGTAGACATGACACTATTAGGTACCTCACCAAGGCCTTGGTTGAGCTGGATTAACGACAGACTGTACCCGCCAGGACGATGACTACTGACGATGATGATGATGACAGGATATATTGTGATTAAGAAGTTCCTGGCCCCTAAAGACAGTCAGCAGGGGCCGAGGAGGAGGAGGAGGAGGAGGAGGAGGGCTTTCGGAAGAGACAGCAGGTGAAAGGGCAAAAGTCTATGATTGTGCCTGAGGTGGTCCCATGGATGTAAGCAGGGGTGTGAGAGCAGAGGAGGCCAAGCCCCGCGTCTCTTGTAATATCCGGGGACGAGATGGGAAATACTTGTGTCACAGGTGGGGGCGGGGCTTATGAAGGCTATATAATGGTTTTTGTCACCACATAGCCAGCTCTAAGCTGATTTGTTGATCAGAGAAGATTGACGTGGCCGTCATCCAATGACTGATTGAAAACCTTCCATTTCTAGAAAGAAAAAAAAAAAAACCCGCCACCCTTTCTTTGTTTGGGTCCTTAGAAAAACAGGACTCTCTTTATGTTAAAATCAGCCCTCTCCCCTCCTCTTTTAAAGGTGTCTATGCCAAGTGAGTGCTGGAACCTAAAGGGGTTAAAAGAGGGTTTGGGATTCCCCTAGAACTGGCATTAACCGCATTTATAAGCAGGGACATCAGTGCTGGGAACAGAACTCGGGTCCTCTGGAAGAGAAGCAAGTGTTCATAGCCTCTGAGCTCTCCTGCTTCAGCTCTCTCCTCTTGATTCGATGGTTATCAGCGAAAATATAGTTGTCCTATATGAAGGATCCTAAGTAAGGGAAAATTCTTCCGTAAAGTGTAGTATATTTTAGGCTCGGAAGTTCCTAGAGAAAGCTAAAGTCTATATTATGTATTTACATTTAAGGAAAGAAAACAAATTTCCACAAACACTTTACACTAAACACACTAAGTGCACTTATTGAAAAAGGAGTTAAGGCCTATGGAGGACAAGCACTGAACTCTTGGGAGGCCAATGCTGCCTAAATGGGGATCAATTTTAGTGTTCTCCTTCGTAAAAATTGATTGTAAATGTTCCTCTGTTGATTTGTAAAGAGTTTTGCATAATTTTTTAAAAATTGGAATATTTTATTAAGATTACAAATTCAGGGGCTGGAGAGGTAGCTCAGTGGTTAAGAGAACTTGGCTGCTCTGGATCAATTCCCAGCACCACATGGCAGCTCACAACTGTCAGTAACTCTAGTCCCAAAGGATCTGAGCCCTCTTCTGGCCTTCACGGGCACTGTATGTATGTGGTGCACAGACACACATGCAGACAAAACACCCACACATGTAATGATAATAATATTATCATTTTATATTATATAATTATTACAATATTATAATGTTAATATTATTGTTTTGTTTTTCAAGACAGTTTCTCTGTATAGTCCTGGCTGTCCTGGAATTCACTCTGTAGACTAGGCTGGCCTTGAACTCACAGAGATTCACTTGCCTCTGCCTCCTGAGTGCCTGGATTAAATGTGTGCACCACCACCACCCAGCTATAAAATATTATTTTTTAAAAAGACAATAAATTCACTTTATAAACATCTTTGAAATATTGGCTTTTGTGTTCCAAGAACGTAGTATCCTTCTCCACATCTTCATTCTTCTCCATGATCTCACATATATTTCTGACAGCTTTTGTGGTTTTGATATTTTTGTACATTTATTTCTACTATGAATAAAATCTTAATTTTATAGTTTTTAAAGTTGGAGTTGAAAAACAGAGTTTTGCAAATTCGACTTTATCTCAAAGTATGTGTTAAAACATAAATTAAGGCCTATTTGAATTCCCATACAAATTAATTGTCACTCAATAATTAAATTGGTGATTAGTTTTTCTGTACTTTTAAAAATATTACATAATATTTTTGTTAATTATTTGGGAAGTTCATACAGCATATCTTGATCATATTCATCCCACACTCCCCTCTCTACTCTTTCCAGCCACCCCTAATCCCTACCCCCACCCTACTTTCATCCTTTTTTTTGAGACTGCCTTGGTCATATGAGTCTTACAATATTTGTGTCCCTCTCCCCTTCTGCTGTGGAATATTCCTTTATACTGTGTGAATGTATGTCACTGTAATTGGCTTAATAAAGAAACTGATGACTGGCCAATAACTGAACAGGATAAGGTTAGGCTGGAGAGCCAAACTGAAAATGTGGGGAGGAAGAAGGGCGGAGTCTGAAGAGTCACCAGGAGATGCAGAGGGAGCAAGACATGCTGGAGGACAGGTAAAGCCACAAGCCATGTGGCAGCACATAGATTAATAGAAATGGGTTAATTTAAGTTGTAAGAGCTAGTTAGTAACAAGCCTGAGCTATCCACCAAACATTTACAATTAATAGTCTCTGTGTCAGTTATTTGGGAATAGGAGGGCAGGAATGGAAAACTCCAACTACACCCTTCTTAGATACTCACTGAGCCTTAAGTGTAGGGGCTGTGTTGTAAATGCATTCATTGGGAGCAGACACTCCATGGTCAGTTGCTCTCTGCATTTTTACTGGTTGTGGTTTTACATAATGATCTCCATCTGCTGAAAAACAAGAAAGCTTTTTTGGATGGGGGAATGAAAGCTGCATTTATCTGTGGCCACAAGGATGAGTACTCCCATCCAGTTGCAGATTACACTGGTTTAGGACGATGACATTAGTAGGCTCTCCTCTCAGTTTCATGGCCTCACCAGATAGCTAATATTGTAATGCCAGACATGAATTCCTTCCCATTGAGTGGGTCTGAGGTCTAATTAGGTAGAATATAAGTGCCACTATTGCACCTTTCAGAATATCTTGCCATGCTGTTTATTTTCGTAGTTCATAGACAATACAGATGAATAGGACTATTGATAGCTTTTTGCCCTTAGCAGCTTGCATGGCTCCTTCTGATACTATGAGATCTAGTCTTCAGGGAAGCAGCTTTGAAGTTGGATCTAGATTGATTCTTTCAAATCCTGTATTCGAAATGTGTTGTATTTTCAGCAACAGGGCCTTGCCTTCTTTTTCTGGAAGGCATTAAGGGCAAGGGCAATAGCCTATATTGTTTTAGAGGTCTCTTGGACTGCACTGACCAACAACTCTAAAGGAGATTTGCCATGCATGGCACTGAGATTTTTGTTGGATAATTTAGGGATTTTTGAGGAGAGCATTCTCACCCCAATTGGTGTAACTCCAATTAAACTACATATATATGATATTGATGATAGATATGTATAAGTGTAGTATAAACTACATATATGCACATATTATATGTCATTTTAACTAAAAATAGAATAAAGTACCTCCCTATGGTATTTGTACATCCTTAATTTTATTTTTTTTAAGTTTTATTAGCTCTTCGAGAGTTTCGTTTCATACCGTGTGTTTTGATCATATTCACCCTCCCCCAATACATCCAAATCTACCCCCTTTTCTTGCTCACCTGCCTTGGTGTCCTTTTATTTTTTTAAACCCTTCAAGACCCACTTGTGCTGCCCAAACATTCTTGGATGTGTGATCTTCCACTGGTTGACTTACCAGGGTCTACATATACTCTAGAGAACACTGTCTCTTCCTTACCCAGCAGCTAGCCATTTCCAAACTCTCCATGGCTAATGGTAGAACTGTTTGCTCAATTCCACTCTTGTGCTGGAAATTGGTCTGGCCTGGGTTTGAGTAGGTTCTGTGCACATTGTCACAACCACTGTGAGTTTTGTATGCAGCTGCCCTGCTGTGTCCTGGAGACGATTCCTTTCACTGTATGTGCTGTTTTACATGGTCCTATGTTAAAGGACACACAGTCAGGCAGTGGTGGCACATGCCTTTAATATTAATCTTAGCACTCGGGAGGCAGAGGCAGGTGATCTCCACGAGTTAGAGACCAGCCTAGACTACAAAACAAGTTCTAAGCCAGCCAGGGCCGTTACACAGAGAAACCCTATCTGAGAGAGAGAGAGAGAGAGAGAGAGAGAGAGAGAGACAGGAGAGAGAGAGAGAGAGAGAGAGAGAGAGAGAGAGAGAGAGACAGAGACAGAGAGACAGAGACAGAGACAGAGACAGAGAGAGGGAGCGAGCGAATACTCCCTTGAGACCACTCTGTACTTCTGCTCCTCATCCCCTTCCTCCTGTCAGTCCTCTTTGCTCCCCTAGACAGTTTCATTCTACTCTCATGCCACATGTCTGTCACACATATGGTTTTATACCTCTATATAAAAATCAAAGAACCAAATATATTGTGAGTGACTGCCCTTGAAGCCAAGTAACTGCCATCTTGGGGCATTCATCTGTGTCCCTCCTGGGGAAGGATTATCCTAGCTGAGCTTGTTGACACTATACAACCCCCAACTGCTCCCTACCAAAAGGCCTACTCATGGCCTAAGAGAGGGACATGTGAGTGCATGCGCTCATGCCTGCGTGTGTGTGTGTGTGTGTGTGTGTGTGTGTGTGTGTGTGTGTGTGTGTGTGTGTGTGTGTGTGTGTGTGTCTGGCCGCTAATATGGCAAAGAAGAGATCTCTCCTCTATCCAAGGTGGAAGAGACAGCCTTGAGGAAGACTGCAGGAGTAAGAGGGGGATTGCAGTCAGAAAGAGATATGAGGTTGGGGGCTTCCACATTGGCTTCTTAATTAGTGGGTAAATTGGATAAAAGAGATGGAGAAATGGAGGTACTGGCCTACTATTTTTTATGGCTAGGTGGCCAAAATGGGAAAAGGGCCCATATTAAACTAGTAATACAAAGCCCCTCTTGGAACCCCAAACCTAGAACCCATGGTGGGGGGGGGGGGCTGAGTAGCAAAGAGGGACTTACCTCCAAGCAACAAAAGATACCCCTCAAGTCTGACCTTTGATACAGAGAAAGGGAAAACCCAGGAGGCAAGCACGGGTCTTAACAATGGTCCTGTGTGAGGGACCACAGTCATCAAATTATATTCAACACAAATTTCTGGAATTATAGGAAAGTTTTAAACAAACAATGCAATAATCTCTCATAGCCTG